TTGTCGACGAAATGGTTTACTGAGGGGGTTTCAGGTTCATTGACTGGGTATGACAAGTCCGAGATCATCCGAATTGAGCCGTCGCCGTTCTCTGAGCTGCCTAAAGGGTTCGATCTGGAGAAACCCAGTTTCTCGCGGATTTCCTCGTGAGTGTATGGACCTGCTACCCTTCCAGCCGCCACCTCTTTCGCCAGTGAGTTTTCTATTTGCTCCTTAGCTGCTAGGGCTGACCCGTGGTTTTCTGGCGTGTACCAGAGTCGTCCAGGAAGTTCGTGCTGGGGTATGCCCAAGCAGAAGCCGTGCTTGAATCCGTCCACTATGTACGGGATGTCATCTGCCAGGCCTACTTCCTTCATCAGAGCGACCCACTTGTCTATTTTCATGTCTGTTTTGACCGGGACTGGCCAGGGATTATCAACGTGGACGGTATACATTTTCCGGTCTTTTAATGGGAGTGGGTCCCTCCTTTTGCCTTTGGGTATTTGTCTCTCTACTTCTTTCTCATCCCTCGGGTCTTGGTCCGAGTCCGGCTCATGTCTTAGGTCGATCGTCACAAGCAGGGGCTTCTTTCCTCCGGGAGGCTCACTGGTTTTTGTCTCACGGAGGAAAATTATCTCGTTTTGGGGAGTGTGTCTGTTGGATGGCACTGTTTGGTACAGGTCCGTTTGTACGAGAGACAGAAAATGTTTATCAAATTTCATGTGAGTTACTCCACTCCTCTCCTTGTCACGAATAAGTCATTGTCTGAAAACAGCCACCGTACCCGCGATAGAGGTTATTTAGACAACCCAGGAACCAATCAACATTTCAATTACGGTAGGCCGGCAAGTATGACCGGTTCCATGATCAGTTGTGGTGTTTGATCGGGGGGGAGTTGTTTGGTTGCGACGGCATTGGTTTTGTGCAAGTGGGAGAGTTTGAGGAAACAGTCAGAGGTATGTACTTCTCTTTCACTCGGGTGGTCTTCGTGCTCACCTCTGGTTCTGGTTCTTGGTGGCGTTCACAGGCGCTTTGGGGTTCCCTTTTGGAGCTTGGCTCACGAGTTGGTTGGCATGCTGCTGGCCTTGGGCAATCCAGTCCTGGTTTCCCTGGGATGTGCTCGCCTGGTTTCCACTTCCTTGGGCGTACGACCTTCCATAACCTCCTCTCGAGCCGTTTCCTTTGGCGTACACGGTGGTCGTCGTGTTGTTTCCGAATGAGGCCGGTGGGTTTCTACCTTTATTCCTCTGACGGCGAGATCTCCACTGATTCTCTTCTGTCGGGTAGGTTGACTCAGCTGGTTCACCTGTCAAGAAATCAAACCCGTGTTTTGGTCCTCCAGGAGCGTATGGGTTGCCCGCGAAGCGCATGTCGCCTGCCAGTTGAGCTTCCCACCTGGCCTCCTCCTCTACGTCCGCTTGGATCCCCCTTGGTAAGACAACTCTCTCCTCCTTCTTCCTTTTCTTCTTGCTTTTCTTCGACGATGATCGGTCTCGAAAAATGACTGCTCTGATTGCTAAGTGGTATCTCAGAGCCACCATCCACGAGTTGTGTTTGGTCATGAGCTTACTAATCATGTCCTTGTGGTCTTTGACGAATCTAACGTAGTCTTTCATTCTGTAGATTTCCGAGGCATATCTGGCCTCAAGGTCGCAGGCCTGGATGAATTCTCCATAGGTCATCTGTCGTTCTAGGTCGTTCTCCGAGACTCCTGGGATTGATAGTTGTTTTACTCCCGGTTTCAGCTCTCGGTTCAGTGAGTGGAAGCGGTTGATGTAGGCTTTGTTGAAGACCGACAAGGGTACGTAGTATTTCAGTCTCTTGAAGCCTTTGGCCCACACCCGTGGTAAGTCTCTCAGAGTGAAAGTTGAGAAGGACTTTTTCTTTCCTTTCTTCTTTTTGTCTCTATCGTCGTCGCTAGTGTCGCTAGGAGATGATGAGGATGATGACGATGAAGAGGATGAGCTTGAAGAAGATTTCTTCTTAGCAGACGAAGACAAATACGAGTCGGTGTCTGAGGAGCTCGATGAATCACTGGAGTCATCGTCCAAATCATCCGAGTCTGAGCTGGAGGACGAGGTAGAACTCTTTCTCCTTTGTCTCTTCTTCTTCGACTTCCCCTTTCCTTTCTTGTTCTTCCTATCCTTCTTTCCTCCTTTCCTTCCTTTCCTCTTCTCTTTCTTTTTTCCTTCCTTCTTTCCTGTTTCCTTGCTGATCTGTTCCACCGTTCCTCCGTATTTCCGTTCGAATTGGTTTCGCAGGGCTACCGCGACGTCGAACTTCTCTTTGTCTATTGCTGCAACCATCATCAGGACCAGCTCTTCTCTCTCTGCCGATTTCAGTTTCTTCTCGGCTTGGGCTCCTGTGTGGGCTATTCCGGCTGGAGGGTGGATGGGATTCGACGGGGTCCCCGTTAGGTCAGCTCCTGTCATTCGTGCTGGTTTAGAGGATTTCCTTCTGATCACGTTTTTCTCAACAGGGCTTAAAATATGCCTGGAGATATCTATCCCTCGGTGGTTTGGATTGGGTTGATGAGAAGGGTCTGAGCCTTCAGCCTTATACTCTACGGATGGTTGGTCCGGAGTGGTTGCTTCTAGGCTTAAATCATCATGAGGTTTTCCCCTTTAGGGATTACAGTACCACCACCGTTTGTGAGGAGAAGTCGTTTTATTTCTGCACTCACAGCTGTTCTTTTCTATGAGGTCCCCTAACCTATCTTCCCCTTCTCCCTCCTTGTCCAGGTATTCCAGGGTGGACTCTGAATCTGATCGTTTCAGCTGTCTCTCCTTTCCTCTTGTATCTTCCACCTCTTCCCTGCTTCCGAATGTCACCTGTTGGTGTCCTCCGAAGTGAGCTGCTGTGCTCTCCATCTCGTTTCCTTCCTCCTCCACCAATCCATTTATCACTTTCCCATCAATGCCGTCTCCGTCACCTCCGTTTTCCATCGTTGGGTGCTTTGAAGACATTTGGTGATCTTGGGGTGCGGAGTCTTCTTGGTGAATCCGTTCAGCTGGTACCCTTGATGTCGCCCTTCTTGCTCTCTCTTCCTGTTGCTTTCTCTTCTTTTCTTCCTCTTCTTCTTTCTTTTGTTGCTCTTTCTTCTCTTTTTCAAGTTTCTTTCCTACGTTTTTCTGGTGTTTCTTGTAATTCTCCAGAAATTTTCCGCTATCTTGTTCTTCCAGATGCATTCACGTGTAGAATAATGTTTCGAAACTTAGAGCAGTTGTAGAAAGACAGAGGGGAGAGAAATGTCGCAAGCTTTCTGGGAGATATGTGCGTAGAGGGAGGGCTGACTGGGAGAGAACGGGTTGGTGGGAGAGCAGAGGAGAAAAACTTGTTCTCTCACCCCGGGTCTCTCTAGAGCCATAGGATGTGAAACCGTATTTGTTTCACATCTCTGTTCTATGGGGGCGCTCCCTATGGACCTATCTCCTGACCGTAACCCTCTAATGGACTGCAGAGATACCTCCGCGGGCTCTGGGTACTCTATGAAATTCTATTTGTTACATGATCTATACTACATATTTGAATTAGAATAATACGATTCTCGAAATCATTATATATGTATGTATCAAGACGAGTTAAGACAAAGTATTGTCTTTTGATGGGAAAAAGTATTCCTATGAGCCCACTCTCTCTCTGACACCCCTTTTGTCAAGACAAAGGATCCCCTTTCAATCTTTGCAGTCAGAACTCGTTCATTGAACTCCAATTGAGGAAGCAATCACTCTAGATGTCAATGTAAATGGCGTGTTGATTGAATTTAACGGGATCGAAATCAAACTAAAGAATAAACCCAATGTTAATTACATACTTTCAGGTTTGTTATCTAGTCACGAACCAAAGACCAATGTTGAAATAGACCAGGTATAAGAAAAAAAGGCAATTTGAAAAAAAGCAATCCAAAGATAAGTTTTGATCAATAGATGATATGATGAGTTTCTTTTGATTGAATTTGATTTGAATTTGATAAAATGTGATGATTGGTTTCATAAGTTTGAGGCAATTGATGGTATGAGATTGTATGGAGACTAGTGAATCATCCCCTAGCAGCGTTCATATCACTGTAGGAGAAGATCCAGGTTTCCCTCTTCAAGGGGACCTTGGGGAGCACCGAGTGAAACCTCGCATGAAAAGCACTTCTCGGGGTTCCGCTCGTGGAGCAAACTTAACACTCGTGGAGATACATCATGTACATTATGACGTAAACAATAGTAGCTGTAAGGTCTTAGTAGTACAGTGGTACACAGATTCAGCCTCAGGGAAGACCAACTTAACAAAGTCCCTCGCGCCAAAGGGCTTGGGCGAGGGACTTACGGCTAATCAATAGCATAGAATAGCAGCATATGTAAAAGAAGAAAGGTGTTGAACGGCGATGAAGTACAGATGATGCTCTATTCATCTTGATGTCGTGGTTTTTGCTCATGAGCTGAACGGCTTTGAGCTAGGGTTAGGCTGGTATGTTCAGCGCTGAGAAGATGCTCCCTTTGTTTGTGTTTCTCAGACACTTGTGTAACAAACAACTTGTTCGTGTGAGAGAAACTACACGAAAGTTGAGACCTCGACGTCGAGGTCGCGTTCAACGGGCACTGTGTCAATGCCTCCGATACCTCAGTTCTGTGAGATGGATGAGGACATTTCGCATCGAGATCATCTTTGTGTTTGAAGCTTTTCAAAACATCATGTTCGTCGATCATCGTTTGTGCTTACACAGATATACTGTGTTGTAGAAGCTTGGAGGAAGTTTGAACGGTGAGATTGATAACAATGGCAAATGTAGTAGTGGTGATTGAATGAGATCGAGAATTTGTAGGACTTAAAATTCACCATTCACAAAGTTGTGGATCACAGGAGACACAACAGAGCAAACGATAAAATTTCAAAGATCATTGATGAGAGCAGAGCAAGAAAAATAAACATAAGTATAACCGCAATACTAATGAGTGTAAACAAAAGATTAAAAGAAAACCGTATGTATTGTTTGTAAAGACACGAAAGTGGAGAGAAACTTGGGGAATATCTCAAGCATGCACTCCACCAGCACCACCTTGAAATCGATATGTTGCTGGTTCGATATCTAATTGAATCACAACATATCCATTGCTCTAAAATAGGTCGTAAAATCAAAATTAATCTCTGAACTCCTTTCATATTTAGTTGATTTATCAAAATTAAAACTTACTACTCTTCCTACGTAGGCATTGTGATATTCTGTTAAGTCTACTGACGGGCTAGCAAGTGGACGCTTAGAAAGTATGCAAAAATCATCCATTTGCTAAAGGAAAGATCAGTGAAGCAAAATTAGTTATAAGCTTGAGGATACGTTGAAGACAATTTAAGATATAAATACCCTGGCAGCGTCTTGAAATTGGTTGACGCTTTGCAGTCTTACAGTGTTCCAATCGAGCCTAGAAGGTTTTCAAGGTCCATATATGCGAGGATGCAGAAAGCAGAAAAATTGATGAGTGAAGGATAGAAGTTGAACACCTGAGAGAATTGGAGAAAGAAAAGAGAGACTTACGACCAGGATGTAACCTTACAAGAATTCGCTGGATCCGAAAAGAACTTGTGCTCGCTTGTGATCACTTGGAAGTGTCCTTGGTTCCATGCTGTTTGGATTGAACCCATACAGTAGGTTGCGAGACCTCCATTGGTGCACATATAGAAAGAGCCATCTGAAACAGCTCTAGGTTGAAGTGAAGCACCAAGAACTTCATATCTACTAGATGCAAGTACCAAAAGTAAGATGCCAATGAAGGAGTACATGTTGTTGCAAAAGTGTAAGATGCGAAGTTTGGAATCAAATGTCTACGAAATTGTGAAGATTTGATAAATAAAATTTGCGTGGTGTAAAGGTTTCAATGATGGTAAGTTCCAAATTTGATAAATGCTTTGTGGTTACAAAAGCCAATGAGTAAAAAAGGGTGGAGTCAAACGAAGTTGCCGCTTTTATCAAAGTGAGGCCTCTTTATTTATTCTTTTTCCGGGGGAAGAGCATCCCCAATTTCCAATGCGCCGCTGGAAACATAAATTTTACATAGCGTTTAGCTGACGTTCTTGACACAAACGTAAAATGACTTTACGTTGTCAAAAAAATTGCAAAAAACACCCTCCTGCGCAGGGAAAAAGTGGCACAGTTGGCCACGGGTGTGACTTTGATGTTCCGACAACTGAAATATGGGCTCATTCTAGCCAGAAGTCTAAAAGGGCTGTGCAGACTCCTTTGGAAACATGCGGCAATAGTTATATTTAATAAAATGAGGAGCTCTCAGGCTAGTATGTAAGACATGATCGAGTTGTATGTATATGTAGCTGTAAAATGCAAATTCGCTATAGGGATATGTCTGTGCTGATCGATCTCACGATAATCTTTTGTTGATTTTGATGAAATTACAAAAAAATCATCCGCGATTTCAATTTCGATTTATGAAACTTAGAAATTGGCACCAGTGGAATCAACTCAAGTAAGCATTCAATTCTCATCCTATTGGCAATCACGTCAGGTCAAAATGTATGAAATCTGAATATATTCTCTACGCGGTGTTCCAAGCACATGTCAAGAAAGGATGTCTTGGTCAAGGGTTGACTTTTCGAAGCCTTAGTATCAATTCAAACGTGGGAGCACTCATCTTGCAAAGAAGGCGACCGTCCGACTAGAATCACGCCGATGTCGTTTGAATAAACAAATTGTCGATGTTTGATATACATCCAACTACGTCACGAAGCTTTAAATGATCTTTTTGAATTCAAATTGTGTCAACTCTTGGATGTGAAATTAGGGGCTATGGAACGAATGGGCACTGCGAATGGGGGCTGTTCTCGAATGAAGGAAATAAACTAAGGAAAGAATTAGCTCGGTCAGCCGAATAAAGAGACCCGTCTCCTCTGCCTCCCTCCTTCCTCTAATCATCTGCCTAGTCATCTCTGTTACTGATTTCTTACTGTGGTCATTAACTCCCTCTACAACCTGTTCTTATATTCAAATAACTAAATAAATAAATATCACCTGTACTCTCTTTAAGTCTAAAACCCTCACTTTCTTTACAATATGCGTATCTCTGTTGCCTTTGTCATCGTCGCCATTGCAGGTAAATAGTCTGCTCATGGGCTCCAGCTCTTTGTTTACTTCCATTTTTTGCATAACCGCTGATCAAGCCTTTGTTTTCTTTTTAATCCAGCCCTTGGCTGTTCCAATGTGCAGGCTGAGTAAGTGAACTCTTAAGTCCATGCTTGTGACTCCGCTGATCGTGTGTTTTTATCAGTTCGACCCAACACAAGCGTATCGCTCGAGCTTTCGGCAAACGAGACGACTACGCCAAACCTCCTTGCCCTGACAACGGGACTCCCACCGTAGTTGATTCGACTTCAGTCGCTACACCAATGGCGCCGACTGCTCCTACCGATGCCAACTCCACCACGACCGTGGATACCACTACGTCGCCTCCAGTCCCCGCCATGCCTGCAGCCGATGTACCCGCTGCTTCTAACAACACGACGATGACCCCACCTATGCCAGTTGCTGACACCCCCGTAGCCCCAGCTGGAGATGTCGTTCCAACCACTCCCGCCGTCGTCATGCCGCCTGTCGACTACGCCGGCAATGGACCTCCTGTCGACTACGCCGGTCCGGCTCCCAATGTACCTACGGTGACCGACCCCACCTCGACTATGCCACCCGTGGTCCCACCACCCGCTGACCAACCCACCGTGGTCCCACCACCCGCTGACCAACCCACCGTGGTCCCACCACCCGCTGATCTACCACCGGTCGACCCTGCAGTACCCTGCCCCCCTAACGGAACCGTTCCTACGTCTGACAACCCTACCAACAATGTCCCTGTTGTCCCATACACTCCACCTGAGCAACCTATCGATACACCAACTGCGACTGATCCGACATCCACCCCACCCCCTCCAACAGTCCCGGTTGACGTGCCAGTAACCCCACCTGTAGAACCCTGCCCCGATCCTGTTCCAAATGCACCAATCGTTCCACCCACTGTGACCGACCCTACCTCGACTATGCCACCCGTGGTCCCCGGTCCTGTCCCCGTTCCTGTTCCTGGCCCGGGATTCCCCGATGACTATGCTGGTGGCCGACCTACTATTACTGACCCTACCTCGACGTTGCCACCTGCTGTCCCCGGTCCTGTCCCCGTTCCTGTTCCTGGCCCGGGCTTCCCCGATGACTATGCTGGTGGATCTCCTGTCCCCCCCTTCGTCCCCGGCCCTGTTCCTGGTTTTCCCACTGACTACGCCGGGGGACCTCCCCCATTCGTCCCCGGCTATGCTCCTGGCCCCGTTCCCGGCCCTGGACCTCTCCCTGGCCCCGGATATAACCCTGCTCACAACCCCAATGGTATTCCTCCCTTTGTCCCCGGCTATAACCCTACCGACAACCCCGATGGTATTCCTCCCTTTACCCCCGGCTATAACCCTACCGACAACACCGATGGTATTTCTCCCTTTACCCCCGGCCAAGGTGGCGCGGTTCCTGGCTCCCCTATTCCTGGCTACAACCCTGCCCACCCTGGCCCTGGCTCTGGCTTCGACCAAGCCAACCTTGCCCCCCCTAATCAGTCAGGTCAGCAAGGTGGTCAATTCGCGCCGGCAGACCAAGCCGACCAATTCGGTCAGGGCCTCACTCAACTTCCTCCCAAGGATCAAGCTCAAACTCCGGATTCAACTTCACAGCAGGCAAGCGGCGGGGGTCTTGGCAGCATGTTCGTCATTTTTCTGCTTGCTACCATTTGGCCATTTTGACCTTGACTTACCACCTTGTGTGTTCTTTAGGCTCGGCGGTGGTGGCGGTGGTGGCGGTGCTGGTCTCACCGGCCTGTTTGTTTTTTCTCACTGACCTTGTGACATTTGGGCCTTGACTTACCACTTTTCTTGGTACCTTAGGCTCGGTGGCGGTGATTCAGCAAGTCAAACTCAAGATTCAACTTCACAGCAAGCAAACGGCGGGGGTCTTGGCAGCATGTTCGTCATTTTTTTGCTCGCTACCATTTGGCCATTTTGACCTTGACTTACCACCTTGTGTGTCCTTTAGGCTCGGCAGTGGTGGCGGTGGCGGTCTCACCAGCCTGTTTGTTTTTTCTCCTCACTGACCTTGTGACATTCGGACCTTGACTTACCACTTTTTGTCCTTTAGACTCGGTGGCGGTCAATGAGACTGTATTACGCAGTCTCCTGAGGTCACCTTTGCGCCGTCACAAAGTCAGTCCTTATTCTTGCCCCATGACTTTTGCTGACTTTTGCTGACTTTTGCTACCTGTTCTTTCATAGCATTCAACGTGTTTGAGGCTTGATTGTTTTGCTGTTTACACCAGACCGTTTTGCATGTTTAATCTCCGACATTTTGAGACTTTCAATGACCGCGTCGCTTTCCGTCGTTGTGCTTTTTCATAATTTGTTTCTTCCTCCGTTTCTTCGTTCTTGCAATTTTCATTTGCCCGGCTTCAATGTTTTCCTTATGCCACATTCGTTCAACCGTTTAGACCTAGCCTCGTGTCGTAATATTTTTGCCTTTAGTTTCTTTGCTTTATTCGCCCGTGGCCCCTCCCTTGACCAAACGTTCGTTGAACGTGGATTCGAATGACCGTAGTCATCGTGACCAACTTTGCTTTTCACACCTCTACCTCGACCCTTCCAAACGCTGCCGCTCGCCCTCGTCATTATTTGTTCCACATTTTCCACTGCATCCTTCCCTAAGAGCCTGCGTCCTTTGACTATCTCGCCCCAATTCCCCTTCTTCGACCCCCTCGATGCCACTTGATCTGCCACCCATTCTTTGATCCTGCCTTGCCCAACTTCGCAGGAGCTTCATTCGCAGTCACCCGTTGCTGCCTCACAAATACAAGCTACCGAACCTCATACATAGTCCTCGCTGACCTCCCTGAGAATCAGACCCATGACCGCACTCAAACCACTCATGGTACCAGTAGTCCGTGTTTCTTGGCATCGCCTGATCCCTCTTTTACGCCGAGCTACATGATCTCTGACTATCAATCCGAAGGCGGTTTCTCATTTCCTTTCCGACAGGTTCAACCTGACACACTATGGCTTCTTCTTATGAGCTTCAGAGATTACACCTCTGTCTTGTAGACGAAGCAATGGGCTTCAGATACTGCTTCACTTCCAGAGTCCAAACTTCTCTTTGTGTAGTTTCGATTCCAGATCAGCTCATCCGTTCTCTGTGAATGACAATAAGATCGTCACCTAGACAAACACTCAACACTTGGTTCCTCAGCTTTGTTTCCATATTTATTTATCTGCTCGCCACAAGGTATGTAACCTGACTGAGCAGAGACGAAATTGACAAGGTTCAAAGCTTCAGGGTTTTGAAGCCAGCGTCTGACTGTAGAAACTTAGGTCAAGGATACCATGTAACCTGTGTATTCAGCACTTCGATCATTGTGATACAAATTGATAGGGAGGAAGAAAATTTATCAATATCGTTTCTCAATGACATGGTCACGAGCTGTGATACCAAGGGAGATAAGACTGGAATAGTTTTGAAAAACGGGGTAAAGGTATGGATGATTTCCGCAAGGCAGAAGGACACTGTGGTGGATTTGCGATCGTTGAACTTGCAGGGACCCTTTGACTTTCTTTGAGTATTTTTGTGACAAAAATTCATTAATCACATATGACTAAAGCATACATCAATGTTTTCCTATATTTGCAACCACACTCATTAAACCACCAAACTACTCGACAATCATACAAGAAGACGAAGACATAGCTATCTTGCGCACCAAACAACTCAAAGCGTCACAGCAACACTTGGTCATCTACTCGGATGGCTCAAGGATTCTTACAAAAAACACCGCTGCAGCAGCGTGGTGTCAAAATACTCATAAATCAATTGCACAGCATTTAGGCAAGGCTCGGTTACATGGAATCTACCAAGCCGAGTACAGAGGAGTACACATTGGACTCACCATCGCTTTACGAACAGCCACACTGTACACAAGAAAAATTTCGATTATACTCGATAACCAATCAGTAATAAAGGATCTTGGTAACTGTCCACCAACAATCACTGCACTCTTAGATCAAAAAGAAACCTTCAAGCTTCTGTCTTATCTGTTTCAGGCTTTCCCATATGCAAGGGTAACTATCAGATGATGCCCAGGCCATGATGAAATAGGAAACGGCAGGTGACTGAAGAATCACGACAATTAGTGAGTGAGGGCGCTATGAGTCCAAGATCACTAATAAGTTATGAGAGAAATTAGGCACCTGTTTGTAGGTGCGAGAGAAAAGACGAGACAATGATTGAGTGAAGAAAAACCACTACAAACATGGTCAAGTTCTTTTATAGACTGAATTTCTCTAGACATAGGTTTACAAATCGTAAGATAATTGTGACTCTCATTCACCACATTGGGATTATTCAAACAAACAACAAATAGAAGGAAAAATAGAAACATAAAGAACAAACACTCAAAGCGGGAAGAATGGATGGTTACTAGTGTAAGTAGAAGAAAAGCGTTTCTCAATAGGCCACCGCAGAATCAACAGCAACAAGGTTGGTGATAAAATTGCTAACAACTTGGCAAAAAGGGACTTGCCAAGTACTTTCACGCCCACCCCCTCCCTTGCAGGCTTCACAACCACCATCAAAGCATGGTCAAAATTAGGAGATAACAATTTTTCTCCTAGCAACGTCAAAAGACTAGGACACAAGCCATCACCAGCAAAACACAGCAAAGCATTAGGACTACTCCTACAGCACAAATGTTCCACCATCATTCAGCTAAGACCAAACCACATCTATCTCAAACAATACCTTTTCAAACATCAACAGCGGTTTGACCCCATATGTGAATGCAAAGAAGGGGTTGAGACGATTGATCACTTTCTCTTTGTGTGCCATAGATATGCATGACAAAGGACCAAACTCATAGAAGCCATCAACAACCTCCAAGAAAAGGAAAATTCAGACATTCTTCACAATCCAAAAGCTTTCAAGAGCATCACCATATATTGTAACTCAACCTGGTGGTTTACAGACCGGTGGGTGTGGGCTAACATAACAAATGAGGAATCCCCTCAAGACAAGTCAAACTTCTACAATCCTCCCATCTAAACTTCACTCATTTCATGTTACCATTCACTTGTTTCACCTTAGCATACCACATTACCATAGCCTTTAGCGCCATTACTTGTACCCTATTGCCACACTTGTAATACTTTAAACAGCCAGCACACGTCCTTTTCCCCACTGGGGTTTTTACCGGAGCGGAGCACAAGTGGTCATAGTGCCTGATAGCTATAGGCTCAGGAGGCACTTTAAGCAATGCATTAAAAAATGAAATTGTGACTTGATTCTTCTTTAAAACTGATGAACCTTGATCAGAGACCTGTGAGGTGTCAGGCAGTCAGTCAAATGGAGTCTTACATGACCATGCTTTGGAAAATTTCAGCTCCAATTCCATATTATTGAAGGTTCAAAAATTGTTGGACATGGAAATTTGTTTGTGCGCTCAAATTCAATCTGACTTTCCTGACAAATGAAATCAAGACATTCCATCAATAAAATCCACATACAGCATTTGATCAAGTCTTGAGGTTGAAACCAATTGACCTTTATTCACCTAGCTATTAAACAGGGTGATAAATATAACAGTGGGGGTATGAGAAAAACTAGACAATCATGACTCACCACCACCATAACTGTCTTCCTTCCTTTTCCAGTTGTCCTTCCTCATTTATGTACACTTTGAAACTCTGGAAACAAGTCCTTGTCTAAGGTTTCAGACTCTCTCCTGTTCTTGAAGAAGAGTGGTCTCAATTTGAGAGATTCTGTTGTTGTGAATCTGATAACTTGCTGTGATTACAGCTGTTCTACAAATTCTTGTCATGGTCAGAACTTTTCTTTCATCTTTTGCTCGAACCCACTGCTTAACTACAGCCAATACAGCCCCATATAGGTGGTATGCACTGGCCAACTCTAACCTAAGTCAGAAGATTGCTTCAACAGTGGATCTTGATTCTGTTCTTTGAACTCATAATTCAATACCTTCTAGATCCAGTAAGAACAGTATAGGATCAGGCTGTGAAAAGGTTTTCACTTTCCACTTGATTCCACCCCAGGCATCAAGGGCCAGTTGGAAATCCAGATATTTGGTCAACCATTTAATCACCCACCAATTCTGACAAACAAAGGCCAGCCATAGATTTTGAAAACCATGTCTTGATTGCAGTCCTAATTCCCATTGAGGTCCATAAAAGGAATCTCCCACCATCAATTGGCAAACAAAGCACAATCATCCCTACTTGACAAGCAAGACACAACTGTCCATCATGGTCACCCAAAACATTTTCAACCACTATCCATTGTTGGTCTGTTTTTTAACTCTTGTGAATTCATGAGATTTCCAATATTTCACTGATTTTCATTGTTTGATAGTCCTTGTAGGTGCACTGGTTACCAAATTGACAACATAAGACCACCTCCCTGGTTAATTCACATTTGTAGCTACCTGGCACTTCTGGCTCAAGCAATGGGTAGAGACAGGCAAGTGATTTTATATTTGTTTTGCCCATTTGTGCAAGCTTCACATTAATCTTGTTGTTACTTCTTAAGTAGGATCTCTCCCATGACCACCCCACTCACACAGTCCAATGCTCCATTAGCCAGTACCAGATAATGGTGAGTTCAATTTGATTTTGTATGGTGGTGTTCTCACTCATCAACTGTGTTTTACGTAGGATCTCTCCAACCACCACCCTTCTCATGCAGTCAAAGGTTTTGTTATCCAGTACTGGAGAATGGTGAGTTGATTTTGATTTGTGTATGGTGGTGTTTGCACTCATTAGTTTTTTTATGTAGAATCTCTCCAGATGCCAGCCTCCTCATTCAGTCCAATGTTTTCTTACCCAGTCTGGCCAATGTTTCTCCTCTCCCAAGTTCATGCAACCTGATATACACAGTTCCCATTCCCCCCTGATATCACCTGTGAAATACACCCTGCCCTACAAGTTAAGTCAGAGCTTAGCAGGCCTTGGTCCTTCCACTTCATGATGGTCCTTGGTATCCTCAGTTAACCCTCACATCAGCCCTTCCATCTTCAATCCTTTGATTTCTTTGCAATACACACCACCCTCCATGTCAAACTCCCATTTATTGACTGTTTATCACACAAGCCAAAGCTCTCCTCTGAAGAGACCAGCCATTAATATTGATCCTTCTGATGCACTGCCTGCATATTTGCCTCAGAGACAAATGTCTAAGTGTTGGAGTGTAAAGCAGGTGTGCAATGGTCAAAAGCAGTAAGGTCATAGAGAATCATCAGTATTAATTTTATATAGGTGTTTTATTGGAAACAGGTATGGAAACCATCAAGGGAAGGAACTTGACTGATGGTCACCAATCCAGGTAGATTATATTAGAATACTTGGGACAAAGGCTTACGGTGAATTGAGAAAAGAGGATTATGAAAGAAGACAATGTCCACATTGGGATGAATTGGGGGAAGCATGTCCAATGCTTTTTGTATCATTTTGTGTTTGTGTAAATTT